GCTTAAATGTCAATGATTTTAATGGGCGGACGCGCAAAAATCTTGAGCCAGTTTTCGTGTTTATTAGAGAGAGAGAGAGAGAGAGAGAGAAAAACACAGAGAGAGAAACATAGAAACAGAGAGCTGAGAGCTGAGAGAGTGGAAGCACCCAGCAGTGGGAGCCAAAGCTCACAGGGGACCAGCAATAGCCTGGAGGAGGTTGCACACAACAACTGCGGTGCAACTGTGCAACCTGCCACCGATTCACCCGTACGCCTCCCTCCCCGCTTCTATTTGTACTGTGATGACTGCTGCGTTTGTAAGGTCATGGAACTTGTCTGCATTGACTGTGAGAGGCAGGAGACCAGGAGGACAGGAGGACAGGAGGCCAGGAGGCGGTGCGCTGGGCAAGCCAGTGGGTGGTAAAGAACAACTTTTTTCATTTGCCTTCTCACTCTACTAAACTCTACCTGTCTACCGCTTCCCTCTCCCCAGTGGAGGAGGACAAACTGTGTTTTCATTTCTGCGCCGCTACGCGCTTTTTGATGCCGCCGCCAACAAGGCAAACAGTTGCTCCTGTTTCTGTTGCTGTTGCTCCTGCTGCTGCACCTACTCCTCGCACTCCTCCCTTTGGGGTAGTTGGTGGCTGTTTTCCAGCTTTTCATGGCGAGTTTTTCAATTGATTTTCGCGGTTTGCTTTTGCTTTTGCGAACCAGCCAAGGCCACCAGCTCCACCACCACCACAGACAGAACCAGAGTCAGAGTCAGAGTCAGAGTCAGAGCCATGGGTCCGACTGTTGCACCTGTGTGAGCCCTTCTGGAGTTTTGTTGCTGCTGCTTCAACGCTTCTTTGTGTGATGGATGCAGCGGCAGCTGGAGGGGGCACAGCCATAGAAAAGTTTAAGTGCTTTGTGGGCAATTTTTGCTGTTGTGTTTTCCTTTTTTTTGGCTTTTTTTCACGATTTTCCTTGGGTCTTTTCTGCTCCGCGAACGATTTGGAGCCGTTTTGTGTATGAAGACCTCTTTACACTGAAGTTTTTTTTCCGCCCTCCCTCCGGTCTCTCTCTCTCTCTCTCTCTCTCTCTCTCTGATTGATTGATTGATTGGCCACCATCGGGGGAGCGGCTATAAGCATTCGATTAGCATTCTCTTTGAAGAAGAGAGAAGATGCACAGCTGCCCTTGCCCCCATCTGTGGTCTCTCATTGTTTTGGTTAATTGCTCATCAACATTAACCCTTCTCTGCCCTGCCTGCCTGCCTGCCTGCCTCTTTGGCAGTTAAATTTACTTCCTGCACCTGCCCTTGCTCTCTTCTGTTTTTGGCTTTTGTTGAATGAAGTGAGAGATTTCTGGATGAGCGGAAATTGGTTTTTAAACTTGACTCAGACGCGGCACCCACACACGCACACACCTCTGGGAGATCTCTGCTTTGGGGGCAACTGTACTTTCTGCAAAAAACAACACTTGCCACATGTCTCGGTGCCTCTTTCTCTTCCTCATGTTGCTGTGTTTAATTAAAACACAGTCACCGGCACAGTCAGGTTGCAAGCAGAAGCAGCAGGGGCAGTAGTTGTCGCCGTTGCATGTCTGGGATGTTGTCTTGTTGTCGCGCTACCAACTTTGGTCACAGCTTCCGCTGCTGCATGGTGCATGGTGCATGGTACATGGTGCATGCTGCCGTTGCCGTTGCGACCTCTTTAGTGCATTGAAGCGCAGAGCCATTCACCAATTTCCAGTTGCTGGCTGGCTGGTGGCACGCACTTGCAGATCGACAGAGAGATCTCCCTCTCCGCTGTCCTCTGTGCGTCAAGTCTTTGGCAAACATGGCCAAGAGTCGGGCAGCCAGGCAGCCAGGCAGTCAGGTCTCTAAGCCTGTTGCTATATCTGTGGCCATGTTGCCGTGTCGCGCCAGTCGAGAGAAAAGAGCAAACATCGTTGAGACTTGTTGGCATCGTGATTTTGTATAAATTCTAGACAGAAGAGCCCCACGGAGCACCTCTTGGCCACGCCACGCCATGAGCTGGCAAAAATGCGATTGGCATAGCCTTTAGGTTGTTCTTCTCTTTCCCTCAATAATAATAATAATAATTTGTTACTCGTAACGAGCTTTGAGGGCCTCTGAGCCGCTCCACCGCTCCACCGCTCCACGCTTGTTAACAATTAAATAAACAATATGAGTCTGCAGTAAATATTCCTCCACGGAGCGGCGAGAATGAGAGAGAAGAGTGCAAGGGAAACAACAAATCATTAAACAAACATTAAGCCACAAACAAACATTTGGCTACCACTCGAGTGAGGCAGCGAGAGAGAGAGAGAGAGATCCGTGGAGATCCATTCGTCACCGCCACTTGAGACATTTTTCTCTATTAAAAATAATATTTATGCATGCTCTTTCCTACGGAGCAACAGTGAGAAACAGAGACAGCGAGACATATAGAGAGAGAGTGGCACGTTTGCTATTATTTCCAGGCCATTTCCCATGAACATGCTGGCCATCCCCTTTCCACGTGGAGTAATCGGACAGATCCCATAGACCTAAGCCACCGATTCCTGATGCCGCCTGCCGCCTGCCTCTGCCACTTGACTCTTTGTAATAACAAGAGCATGTTGTTCTTGGACACTAGACTACCACTATGGGCTACGGCTGAATGTGGAACCCGTTGTGAAACGTGGCTTTTCCCATATAGTTGTGGCACTTGTACCCCTGCCCGATATGGGTTTCCCTTCTTTTCATTTGAGGTCTCTGTGCTCAGTGCTCTCTGGTCACCCATTTTAGTCACGTTTCTTTCATTTCGAATATGATTTTCGCTTGGGCTGCTTTTGGACAAAAACCAATTAGACTTTTCCCTCGTTTTGGCCGTCAGCTATTTGTCGCATTGTTTTTTCGGGCCAAAAGGTCTCATTTTCACTGCTTGAGAGGAGGGAGAAGGCTGCTTGTGGGTTTAATGTTGAGGGGGAAATCTCATGTGTGGGTTTCGTGGTGTATTTTCCACTTTGACTGCTTCCAAAACGAATCAATTCGAAACCTAGACCTGATTTTCTTTAAATTATTTCCATTTAACAGCGAAAATGTGCTCCAAAAAGATGGAATTTCCGATCTCTTATATACCACAACAAATTGCAATTGGGATATTAAAACCTCAATAATACCTTGACAGATGGCTGATGCTTGGCTGCGGCAGTATTGTGTCATTGCATAGGAATCACCACAAGCGACAGCCATCCCGTCTATGAGTAATAATCATTCTATAACTAAAACAAATATGCATTTCGGTTGGGTTTCTCGGTAATCAATATCGCACTCACGCGCGCGCCTTGCATTATTTCTCACGATTCATTCGAATGTTTCTGCTGCTCCGATCCGATCCGAACCGAACCGCCTCGATATTGAATTTCAACGTTTATTTTTGGCGCTACCCTCCCGACTGCTACTCAAGCGGTAATCACAACAGCACTTGGGCTCCAAGCAACCCCCAATTTTCCCCAACTAGTAGCGCATTTTCCCATTTCCCTGGCCCAGGCAGCGTATTTACTTAATTATTTTGAAGTGCTTGGCAAACATTTTAACACGAAAAATGTTTCAGTCCGAAAGCAGCAGCAACACTCTTTCTGCAGGGGGGGGGGGTGGTGTGGTAGAGTCTCCCCACTCCGTGGCATGATGGACGACGGACATACACACAAAATGTTATTAATTAAAATGTCATTCAGTCAGTAAATCAGAAACAAAGAAAGGACTTTTCCTCCATGGCATAGAACAAAAGCGGCGGGAGTTGTGTGTCTTGCAGCTGCTGTTGACAGTTTTTCCAAGGGTCTTGGAGCTCACTTTAAAGCTTCCTTTTAGAGAAGCTTCAACCATCGAGAAGCAGCTGTGGACCACACGCAGCAGCAGCAGCAGCAGCAGCATTGAGAAGGCTGAAGAGTCCACTCTCGTGGATGGGAGATGCTGAAACTGAAACCGAGACACTCTGACCACAAGAGCCACAAATATGTATGTCACTTGACACTTGCTAAAAACTGTGCTCCAGCAAGCGGCAGACTAAAGTACGAGCATCTTGTAGATAAATTTCGTGACTTTGAACAGAAGCTCTGCTTAAATTGCCCTTCACTGGGAGCTGGGAGCATTGCTTGGAGCTGGGAGCCCAGCTGTCAATTTGTGGATCTCTCTCGCCCTCTGCTGTCTGTCTCTCGGTTACAGCTGGCTGCCTGTCATTTTGGGGTTTACCACAAACTGTTGGGGATATCATGTCTTGGATATCCATGTTACGGTTACACGTACACTCTCCTAGATAGGCAGCTGACACAGAAATGAAAAAGGTGCTCGGCCTGTCTCTGTCTCTCCTCCATTTTGAGTGACGCTTCAAGTGAGCAATTGTCTTGAATTAATTTCTGCCTCATCACATCCCCAAACCCATTCCCATTCATCCATCAGCCATTTCACACCCTTTCTGGGCAAACACTTTGATCAGCAGCAGCAGCAGCAGCAGCAGCAGGCAATGGGATGCAGTCCACTGGCCGACCAGCAGACGCCGTCAAATTTAATAAAAATCACTGATTTTGATTGATGCGCCTCCTCCAGAGGGAGGTAGAGGGAGTCGAGTCGCTCATCATCATCAGCAGCAGAGTTCCCTTTAGCAAATATTGCTGCAAGGGTTGCAACAGCGGCAGCAGGAGGGAGGGAGTACGCACTGCTTGACATGTGACATCGGACGACATGTCCAAGTGTTCGCCTCGACGCCGCTCAATTGAAACAAATGAAGCGAACGAGAGAGAGAGAAAGAGAGAGAGAGAGAGAAGTCCGTTTCGCTGCAGAGACAGGAAAGAGCATTTGACAACAACTTGTCGACGCCTTCCATTCATGGATCGACACCCCCCGCCCAGAGCTCTCTTTAGAGTTTTTGTTTTTTCTATGAAATCAGTTGATGGCTAACCCTCGCATAGACAAGGTCTTATAGCTACAGATTTAAGGATATAACCAACCAAAATTCGCACTAATTGTATCTATTATCTCTTGTTTATTTGCAGCTAGGCCAGGCCGTTTGTCGAGCGTTGACAATTTGACGCTGGATCTGAAGAGAATCTACTTTGCACTCGCCTTCATTCACCACCCCTCTCAAGAGGAAGGGAGAGAGAGCCACCCCAAGGGTGCGTCGTCCCACACTCAAGAAAAAACTCAAGCTTACAGAAAGCTCAAAGCTACAACGCACACACAATGCAGTGCCACAAGAACAAGCGTGTGGCAGGACTACTCGCAGTGCTGATCCTTTGCCTCGTCAGCAGCGGCAGGGCACTGCCAGACAGCCCACAGCACAGTCTCGACCATGGCATGGGCATGGGCATGGGCATGGGCATGGGAATGGGAATGGGATCCCACGGCATGGATGTGAGTCCGGCGCCAGGGTATGGCGTGCCAGCCATACCCAAGGATCCAAACTCGCGCTGCGAGGAGATCACGATACCCATGTGCCGGGGCATCGGCTACAATATGACATCGTTTCCCAATGAAATGAACCACGAGACGCAGGACGAGGCGGGCCTGGAGGTGCATCAGTTCTGGCCTTTGGTGGAGATCAAGTGCTCGCCGGACCTCAAGTTCTTCCTGTGCAGCATGTACACGCCGATCTGCCTGGAGGACTACCACAAGCCGCTGCCCGTGTGTCGCAGCGTCTGCGAGCGGGCGCGCTCCGGCTGTGCCCCCATCATGCAGCAGTACAGCTTCGAGTGGCCCGAGCGGATGGCCTGCGAGCATCTGCCGCTGCATGGGGATACGGACAATCTGTGCATGGAGCAGCCTTCGTACACGGAGGCGGGCGGCAGCGGTGGCAGCAGCAGCGGATCGGGCAGCTCTGGCAGCGGCTCGGGAGGATCGGGCGGCAAGCGCAAGCAGGGCGGCAGCTCCGGGGGCAGCTCGGGCGGCTCGTCGGCGTCCAACAAGTGCCGCGGAAGGAATTCAAAAAACTGCCAAAATCCCCAAGGGGAAAAGGCAAGCGGAAAAGAGTGCGCGTGCTCGTGCCAGTCGCCGCTAATCTCCCTGGGGAAGGAGCAGCTCATGCAGCAGTCGCCCATGCGGCACCATCACTGGTACATGAACCTGACTGTCCAAAGGATCGCCGGCGTACCAAACTGCGCCATTCCGTGCAAGGGTCCGTTCTTCAGCAACGACGAAAAGGATTTCGCCGGCCTCTGGATCGCCCTGTGGTCGGGTCTATGCTTCTGCAGCACCCTCATGACCCTAACCACATTCATCATCGACACCGAAAGGTTTAAGTACCCGGAACGGCCGATTGTCTTCCTCTCCGCCTGCTACTTCATGGTGGCCGTTGGCTACCTCTCGCGCAACTTCCTCCAGAACGAGGAGATCGCCTGCGACGGGCATCTGCTCAAGGAGAGCTCCACCGGCCCCCACTCGTGCACCCTGGTCTTCCTGCTCACCTACTTCTTCGGCATGGCCTCCTCCATCTGGTGGGTGATTCTCAGCTTCACCTGGTTCCTGGCCGCCGGCCTCAAGTGGGGCAACGAAGCGATCACCAAGCACTCGCAGTACTTCCATCTGGCCGCCTGGCTGATACCCACCGTCCAGTCGGTGGCCGTGCTCCTGCTCTCCGCCGTCGACGGCGATCCCATTCTGGGCATCTGCTACGTGGGCAACCTCAATCCGGACCACCTGAAGACCTTCGTGCTGGCCCCGCTCTTCGTTTACCTGGTGATTGGCACGACCTTCCTGATGGCCGGCTTCGTGTCGCTCTTCCGGATACGATCGGTGATCAAGCAGCAGGGCGGCGTGGGCGCCGGCGTCAAGGCCGACAAGCTGGAGAAGCTGATGATCCGCATCGGCATCTTCTCCGTGCTGTACACGGTGCCGGCCACCATTGTCATCGGCTGCTATCTGTACGAGGCCGCGTACTTCGAGGACTGGATCAAGGCGCTGGCCTGTCCCTGCGCCCAGGTAAAGGGTCCCGGCCGTAAGCCCCTCTACTCCGTGCTGATGCTCAAGTACTTCATGGCCCTGGCCGTGGGCATCACCTCCGGCGTGTGGATCTGGTCCGGCAAAACGCTCGAGAGCTGGCGCCGCTTCTGGCGTCGATTGTTTGGGGCGCCCGATCGCACTGGTGCCAATCAGGCGCTGATTAAGCAGCGACCGCCCATTCCGCATCCGTACGCCGGTTCCGGGATGGGCATGCCCGTGGGCTCGGCGGCTGGATCGCTGTTGGCCACGCCCTACACACAGGCTGGAGGCGCCTCGGTGGCCAGCACCAGCCACCACCATCTGCACCACCATGTTCTCAAGCAGCCGGCGGCCAGCCACGTATGACATGGAGAGTCGGGAGGAGCTTCAACCATGGGCGGTGGTGGCGGCGGCGGCAGCACCATTGGCGGCGGCAGCGTGCTGGGCGGACACGGCACGGGCATGAGCAATAGTACGGTTGGCATGGGAGCTCCTCCTGGCAGCTTGATGCACGGCGGCGGCGGCCCCAATGGCGGCGCCCCCGGCAATATCTACGGCAATGGCAATGGCGGTGTGGGTGTGGGCGGTGGGCAGAGTACGGCGCCCGGTTCGGTGATTGATTCGAGGGCCGTGTCCGTGGTGGTGACACTACCAGGCGGCCCGGGATCCCAGCATCCGGGGCAGGCGTTGAGCGACTACGGTCCCATATAGTTAATGGTACGCCCGGACACCACGCACTGGGTCTCCACGAGTAGCTTCAGTCAGTTGTAAGTCCTTTCACTCACCCACTCGAGCTCCCCATCTCTGTCTCACTGTATGTCTGTCTGTCTGGTCACTCTCACACGTAGTAGTCTCCTCTAACACTCACAAAAGCACACACAAATGCACACTCTTTCTGTCTCTCATTCGCAAAGGTTTGAAGCAATTGCCATATTAATTCTTGTAGCCGTAGATTTGTTTTTAGGAAGGAAAGAAAACGCAACAAAATAAGCAACATTCTGCATTAAGATTCTAGTCCAAAAACCTTTGTCATCGATATAGCCGATAACCGATAGGAGACAGTCGTTAGTCGATAGCAAGCGATAGCAGACGAGAGCAAAGTGCAGCGAAACAGCAGCAGCAGCGTGTGAGAGCAAAGGAGAAACAGGATGAAAGCGAAACGGGAGCGAAATCAGAATTACGAGAGCCAAAATGAAGATCAAATCTATGCAGATCCAGAACCAGTGGCGCGGTCTGTTCCATCCCTACCATAATCGAAAACTACTTTCCTATTCCTAATTATTTATACACACACACAAACGCCAGCCTTTGTTCTAACCCAAACACACACACACACAAACACACACTTTCTTCAACGAAATAGACTGAGAAATGCAAAAACCAATTAAGAAGTAAAATACGCGGGGATTAAAACGAGAGAGAATTACGAGTAGTAAGCACTCTGCCCCACACACTGCCAAGTCAGAGCCACGAGCCATATTTCGAAATTACAACTAACTTTTAATCAAACTAACTAAACTATTAACCTTAACCTAAACATAAACACACAGAAAAGTAAACTAAACAAAGAGAAAACAAACAAACAAACAACAACAGATGAAACCCTTTCGAATGAACGTAGAAATACATTAAAAAATATACATTTGCGATTCCAGGGTTGTCGCGTTATCAAAGAGAGCGGGGCGAAACAGTGTTGCCAGATACCATTTGTAAATTATTTAATCTTACCTGTAAGCCATTACCCAACACTAAGTTTTGTACATAGTATTTTCGAAAACGCCGCTTAGTCTGTAAACGAACATTTTTTTGAGACTAGACGAGATGTGAGATGAGAGGAATCCCTGAAACTAAAATAGAAATTGCATTTCAAGCATCAAAAGCAACTCTGCATTTAAGCTCAAACATTGAATTTAATTTTTACAACAAACCCCCCGCCCCGTGCCCCGATTTCCCCTTAAAAATACAAATATATATAAATATATTTATATATAAATTGCCAACGTTTGCAGCCGAAAAGCAGGGCATTTTTTTGCATTTAAAAAAGAAGCGAAAATAAAAATTGTATAAAGCTAAACATTTATATAAGAGTATTAAAATTAAATTGTAATCGTAGTCGTAATCGGAAAAAAGAAAAAGAAAACAAGCAAAAATATCTATCAAGCATTAAAAATTAAAAACTATTGTATTTAAACTTAATATTTATATATATATATTATTGTATACAATATATGATGTATGTGTATGTAAATGTATGGTAAAAGCGACAATTTAACTGTTGGCATTTCAAACCATTTCACATACGAACAAAGAGAGGGAGAAACCTTTAAATTACGGGCATAAATTATATGATATAGCAACAACTACAATATATGTGTGTAATGTTTTTAGCAACTATAAACTACTTCTATAAACAAAACGAAAAATATGCAAAAACTGTAATAAAAAAAACATACAATTATTTAACTTTTGATTTCGATTCTCTATTCTGATTTTATTTCCTCAGTTTCTTGTGCATGACAAGTAAGTACATTTTTGCTTTCTGCTTTGCTTTACTTGTTGTTTATTTATAATTATTTCTTGTGTGATTTCGTATTGATTTTTAGCACTTACAAGAGAATCTCTCGACACTTATACGTATCATTAAAACGAAGCTCTCCAAAGTTAAGCAAACAAAAGCGCAGAAACCAAAACCAAAACCAAACCAAAACAAAACAAAAACGAGTAAACATTAATTAGCAAATTTCTCTACACGACGTACAATGTTTAATATAGTACATACATATATTATAAATATTGAACACGACGGAAAACCGAATCCATAGCATTACCAGATACCAAATTTATGCGTACTATTTGATGTTGTTAATAAGCTTAAAGAAATATTGCTAGCTAGTAGCGTTAGTTTAGTTTCCTGGGAATTCGGGGCGTCCCATTGGGCGCTTTTTCCCACTTTAGTTTGAGGCGTAAATAGCAAACGCTTTTATCTATTAATAAATATAAAATACAAAAATATTGAAGGCTAAAGAGTGTAACGAATATACGTAAATGGGATAAAAACCAAATGAAATGAAAGGCAGAATGTAAAAAATAATTAATGCAAATATTATTCAGTTTAAGCGACTCGACTCGACTCGACTCGAAACAGTTTCCGTTGATTTTTTGTGATTGAAAATTCATTTACTAAATTGATGAACCGATGAAATTGATTGCAATTTGCGAATGTATACGATTTTTTAATTTTAATAAAAACGAAACCTATAAGCGGAAATATTTCACAATGGAGTGGATTTTAAAAAAGGATAATGCTGAGCGGAAAGGATAGAAATAGAAGGAACGGTGATTGATCGATTAGTTGACGTTACACAAAAACCAGAAACTTGACGTCAAGTGTAGTTGTGAATTGTATTTTGTGAAATGTTTAAAATTAAATAAGAAACCAAAAAACCAAAACAAATTCTATATACATAACGAAATGCATTTTAAAGATACAATATATAAATCAAAACCAAAACAAAGCGATGTTGTAAACTGTGAATCAATTTTTACAACACCAACAAAAAAAAAAAACAACAATACGAAAAGTCGAGAATCAAATGCGTTAACACAACCGAATATACGAAACAGCAGCAGCAGCAACAACAAACAACAATAATATTAAATACATTTGTAATTGAAAAAGAAAAACCATTTAAAATAAAATTTAACAGCATAAGATGTGCAGTTTCTTTTTACGACAATGGGCACAGAAATCAATTGATTGCCTCAAATGGCCCAGTCAGGCCCTGGTCAATGGATGGATGGATGGATAATGGGGGAAGCTCAATGAAAAAAAGCGCTCAGGCTAGAGCAGTTTCAGTCAATAGTATTGCTTTTTTTGTGCGCCAAATCTCGGCTATTCAGTGACAAATAGCAGAGAAAGCTTCAAGATATAAAGCACATTTTTCCAGTTCGGACTGATGGATGTACCGATCTGAACTGGGTAAGTCCAACTCATTTCTAATCATGACATGAATAGGATCATATTGATAGAAATTTACAAATTCAATGTAGCTTCGTTTTGTGCGTTTGAATAAGTTGGTGATACTTTTTTCTTTTCGAATTTAATCTAAGGCAACTAAAACTAAAACTTCCTGCGACTCATGGAATCTCTGGAATTTATATTAAAACATAGCCTTGTTACACTATCGGGCGGATGACAAGCTGAAGAAACTCTATTGGCTGATTGGCCGCAAAAGCAAACTCAACCTGCGATCGAAGCTGCTTGTCTTCAAGGCGATCATTAAACCAATATGGGCACACGGAATACAACTGGGGAGAACTGCCAAACCAAGTAACCGGCGGATCATACAAATTTTCCACAATAAAGCCCTTCGAAGAGTCGGTAAGGCTCAGAAGACTTAAAAGAGATCACCCGCTGGACCTCCCCTGGAACTAAGCAGCTAGACAAATCAAAATTATTCATAATAACTTAATAATAACATAATTGTAAGATAACTGAAATAAGATTGCCAAGTACCCAAAGAGGAAATTTAATAATTGTCTGCACAAGACAGATCTTAAATAAGGTTGAAACACGGCTAAAAAAAAATTGCATTGAATTAAATGGCATTGAAATAAAGGAAAATAAGATTTAAAACTACGGCATACTTTTGGGGTTGTCTTTATTGAATAAGGATGGCATAGTTTCAGGCCAAACGGTACATGCGTTTCTATTTCAGAATATCATAAAAATGTCTAATCCTGGCAGTCCTTGAGGTCCTTGGTGGACACAAACAATACTTCAGAATCTTCCGCTCACGAGGACTCATACTACGTCCAAGAAATGGTGAATTTATAGAAATTATGTCCTTGATCCTTGATGTCCTGCAAAAGAAACAAATTGAAAGGAATCGGAGAAGTGGTCCTGATCGGTACACAAATAAAGGAGATAACAACAAAAACATTTTGAGTTGTTGTTGTACAACAAAAAACAATTGTTGTACAACAAAGGTGGTTCTTGTTATTGTTGTACAACAAAAAATAATTGTTGTACAACAACCACCCTCAACTTGGTGACGCTAAGAGTCGAGATTTCGCGATTTTCAGACCTGGGATACCAGGCGAACAGAAATCAGCAGAAAGTAGCTGGTCTTTTTGTTTTCCATTCTATCAAAGGCTGGCTGCTCGGAAACTGAAAATTATAAAATAGCCAAGTAACTAAAAGTATGCAACATAATTTTGGTCAGAGTGCACATCCAGAAAATGTAGCATACTTTTAGTTACTTCAAAGTCTCAAACGTTTTTTGAATAAAAACGTCGATTTCTTGACCTCATCCCAAAAAATAAGTCATAACGTTCTCATCCTGTTTCGGAACCACACTTTATTTGGAAAAGCTTATTCTGAAGCTTTCGCAAAGGATTTCCAATGATGTGGCAGCACAAGGACTAAGATCTAAAGTTAAATTTAGTACAATGAAGTAAACTAATTGCTAAAATTGGTTTACGACCAAAAGATGGTGCCAGCAAAAAGTTTTCAACTTGATGGTCGTTTGAATTTAAAACTATTTACACTTAATTACGGATATTGCTTATTATAAACGCTTAAGGATATTACTTGGTACTAGTTAATAAAACCTATATTTATTATTTATATATTTTTGTATGTGCTACATCAATACTTATATTAAGGCGTTGCTGCACCATTCATCATCGCTGTGCCGTGTCTGCAAGGAAAGAAATTTCAAATTATAAATACATGGCAATTATTTTTCAATTATATGGACTTGCCAATGTTGTCGGACACTCGGCGAGGGCCAGGCCGGGCCAGCCAGACTGCCACGTCCTTGCCAAAGTATTAAAAAACGAATTTTCGCCTGGAATGGCAGACGAAATATACATTATATAAGTACAAGTAGTACGGGTATATGTTACGCTTATATCTACTTACATACTTATTTTTAGTGCCAGCTGAGCGGAGCGGAGCCGAGTAAAATAGCTGTGATGACCTTACATGCATAAATATTTCAGCCGACTTCTGCCGCTGCTTTGGTTGTTGCCATTTTCAAGAGCAAGGCGAGCCATGGCAAGGTCTTCTCTGCTGCTGTTGCTGTTGCCACAAGCGAAAACTATTCGCAGACTCGTGTAAGGACAAAAGTTATGTTTCCTGCCGCACCACACGCAGCCTCCCCAGCCGTTCTATTCATCTGGTCAACAGGTTGAAAATGAGAGCATTTCTAAAACTTTCAGAAAGTTGCCGAAACGAAAAATTAGAGCCCCCCACCCAGCTTAGCACACTAGTGGCCATGGAAATTCAATTAGTAGTCCTAGCGCTAATTAATCTTAAATTGTAAGCTTTCCACTTGTTGAGAAAGGTTTTTCGAAAATGCCAACACCATTGTCCAGGCCTTGTCTGGCCTCTGCTTATGCCACTTCCACAGCTATGCTCATACATACATGCCTCACGTGCCAAAAAGCTCCGCACGTGTACTGCCGACAACACTGCAGCGTCATAAGGTGGCAGGAGACGCACACGGAAAGGCAAAAGCTTTCACTGCCAATAGCAACAGCGTGCCCCAACACGAGCTCCACGAGCTTTGGCCGACTCCAGCGGGCAGCATGGACAACAGTTTGTTGCTCAAGCTGTTCCCGAACGGACGTTCCCTCAGAACCGTTCGGAGCACCCCAGAGTGCATCACAGTCTGTTTCTGTTCAACATTCGGATTTAGATTCGGATACGGATAGTAGTAGTTTCCCCTCCAAGCAACTGCGTGACGGGCAAAGTGTAAGCGGGAGTTGGCAAATCCGTTGGCAACTCCAGCCCAAAGGAAACAGACCGCCGAAGCGTGGAGTGTGGAGTTGAGTTCGTCGGAATTGTTGTGTGTGTTTCCGTGTCCTGTGGAGTAAAGTAAAGTTCTAGTTTAGTTTCAATGCTCAGTGTGTGTTTGTGTGTCTAAATATTTAAATACCAATATGAAAAAATCAAACAAAAACTACAAAACTGCGCCAGAAATGTGAAGAAGGCAAGGAGAGTGCCACTACCTTAGGGCTAGGCCAGGACCAAGTGGGACTTATGGAGGCGAAGTCAGCTGCCAAGTTAGGACATGTTAACACACAAGCGGGAGCTTTCCCTTGCTTGGAACATGCAAAGCCCACATTAGATGTGTCTAGAAGACTAAGTGACTTGAAATTCCGAGCCAGGAGGACTACATGACCAGCAGATTAGCTTCAGTTTGTGCTTCCTTAACGGCTGCCAGCCGAGTTATTTGAAAGCTACCTATACATTTATTTGCACATTCCGCATTCCTTTAATATGCATTTCCTGAGAGACTGGCAGTCGAGTCAGTCAGTTCGTCAGTACAGGCAGACACTTGCAATTAACAGGGAAAATTAACTCAGAGTCAGCAAATGTTGCTGTGGTCTGGAGTTTATTACTAAACCAACACAGCAAAGGCTGACATTTAAATTCCTTTGTAGGTTAAAAGATTATTTGAAGAGTTTGGGTTTCAGGGAGTAAACAAACTTCAGACAATCTGAAAATGTACAAGGAGAACTTTCGTCATTTAAAGAACTCAACATGCAAATTTTTCTTCTTATTTACTAAGCAAAACTAAGAAAATATTTGATTTAATTCAAGGATTGCTCACGCCCCGACTGAATTAATATACACACAATAGTGACAAGCATAATCAGCACTGTTTCCGCATCGTAGGCCATCAAACAAAGTTATGGCAAACAATAAAAAGCATTTCCATTTGAGCCTTTGACAGCGTTGATTTCGTTGAAATTCTATGGCCGGTCGTGTTGGTATGACTCCTCCAAGGCCATCATCCTCCGCCACTCACTGGGCGTTCTGTCAAGAGTTTTGGCTGTAGTCTGTGCAGTCCATATAGTCCTGTTTTTTGGGGCAGAGTTAGTTTTGCTTCTTTCTTCTTTCTGTTGCGTTGGTAGCTGCCCAAAGGCTAGAACTGCCAAGGCTATCTGCATTTCAAATGACCAACGCAACAATGAAGGCTGCGAATCAACAAAAGAGGAGTGCCACACTAGAGAGGGACGACGACAAAACAAAACAAAAACATCGCCAGAGACAGAGGACAGAGAACAGAGAGAATTGTCGCATGCGGAACTCGTAGAGAGCAGTGGGCAGGGGAGTGGGTGGTTGGGGCACAGTGGCTACTTAAAAGCAGCGCACACACACATGACGTCATTAAGCATATTAAATGAGTTTACAACGCGCTGTTTGCTGGCGTTGTTGCATGGCGCACACACACACACGCACTCTGTGTACTCGTAGATGAGGCGCAAAACGGTAAAAGGCCATTAACGAACGCCTAATGGCGCACTTGAGACACTGTGCCACTGTGCCCCACCAAAGGGGCGTGGCACGGGGGATAGGGTTAGGCCAAAACGGATAATGAGAATGGATCTGTCGTCCGGGCGGCGGAGGTTGAGGTTGTTGGCTGGTTGGCCATAAACGGCCAAGACGGGAACGCACAGTGCAGTGCGACAGTAGCATCCCATCAACACTCGCTCCTCCTTCTGTTGTTTTTTGTGCGCTGAAATGAAATTGAAACATTAAATATTTATCCAATTCAAGAGGAAGGAATCACATCATCCGTGTCCGTGCATCCATCCAAGTGTCGCGGAAAAGCCTAATGCATATATGAAATGATCAACCGAAGGGCAATTTATCAGCATCCCAGAAGTGTACTCAAAAAAGTGTAACACCAAAAAAAGAGATACAGGATAGAAGCCGAAACAAAAGGAAAAACGCCAACAACTAACAACCCGACAACAGCAATAACAATTTGTCAAGAACGCACACACATATGCAGATACACCACACACACACAAACACACACACACACACACACGAACACGTACACAAACACATATTAAAAGAGCTAAAAAATATATCACGCGCGTTTTAAACGCCTCAGCTTTCAGGATACGAAATTAACGAGACATGGCCGAGCCAAAGGAGATGCAGGTGAAGCTGCTGCCCCTCATGGAGAATCATGTGAAATGGTGAGTAGTCGGTCGGTCGCACATTAATTGCCACTGACCCTGGCACTGGTGCAGGCAGGGAACTACGAAAAGCACGCGACGAGACGCGTGACGCGCACACCTACACTACTCTCCATCGTATTTGGTACAGATATATCCCCCGAACCAATCAATATTATCGAGTTAGCCCCCCTCCAAAAAGAATGGCAATGCGAGTGCCACTGGGAGTGTTAGTGAGTGAGTAAGTGTTGCCTGAAAAGCACGTGGATTTCATAAAATATGCAGAGCAATACATATTTGAACAGCCAGCAAAGCCAGCAGGAAAGGAAAGGAAGGGAGGAGCAGAAGCATTGCAAGAGCACATAGCCAGAGGCGAAGCCAGATCCAGGAACAGAGCCAAAGCCAGAGCCAGCTTATCCAAGCAAAAGATGGGCATGCCGATGCTAACGGCCTTTGCTTTTGTTTTTTATATATGTACACATGTACGTATATGTGTACAGGTGTGCTTGCGTGCTAGTGTATCAGTGGCATATATTTTACATGACAATATGTGCTCGATAAAAGATTCTCCGCTCATGAAAAGAGCTCTTTATATAGGCAAAACTTGCTCCAGCAGCTCCATGTGTGTGCACCAAGTTTGCGTGTGTGTCCCAGAATAATGAAATTATAATCCATATTGCTGGTTAACAAGAATCAACTAAACGTAGGATTAGCCGGGAGTGCTGTTTGATGAGCTAAATGAAGTTATGGGAGCGCTATCAACTGGCAGATTATTCCGAATTTATCGCTCAACTGCTGAGCCGAGTTGAGATTATGATTCGAAGCCTCTGAACACAAAATCAATACAAAATCTTTCCGCACTTGAAACTACTCTTGTAATTTATTTGGCGTTTACGTTAAATGTTAAACTCATTAAACACTAGTTGCTTAAAGGGTTCAATAATGGTATTTTAATTAACTAATTATCCATTAATTAGGGAGAGTTAATTCAGAAGCAAAGGGGGCCTTCCTATGGTTCTGTTTCCAGAGTCGTTTGGGATATATGTACACAATGGTAAATGAAAGTTTTATACAACAAAAAACTAGCCAAATGGTGCAAAAACTCCCTTGGGTATGCAGATATACATACATACATATGTAAATGTACATTTGTTTGTTAAACTATTTAGCTTTTATGTACATACATTTATGGGGGGGGGCAATATAATTCGCTAATCTGGCAGAATAGAATTGCCAAATTTAGAATTTTCGTGCAGCTAACCAAAGAATGCAATTAAATAACTTTTTCAAACGTATAAACGTTTCAAAAGTTGCGTAACAAACGTGAAAACACACAAAGCAGACATGGGGAATTATAATGTTTTAGTTTCCCTAAATCCCATTAAATACATGACACCAAAATGTAAGTAGCTCTTTGGAACTTTTCTAAAATCTCATTTAAACGAAATCCCTTTGTACTTTTGCTATCTTTGAATAGGGATATTTATGCAAGTCTTAGTGCCACTCAACTCTGCGTGGAAAACGGATAAATATTTGCATTCAACAGATTTCATTTGAATACATATTCAAATTCTGCCAGCCGTGGATCCGCTTTCGCTTCGCCTTTGCCTCCATTGTGCCACAACATGCCATTGTCGTCCCCACTCCGAGATACGTATCCTCGTGCAGAGCAGAGAGCTTTGTGGATGGGAAATGTGATATCAAAACAAGCCGATTGTGTGGCATTCATTCTACCTCAGAGTTTGGCCAAAAATAGCTGCAGGCATAAATAGCGACAAGAGCCGCAGAAAAGAATATGCATAAAGGGGCTCCCCCCTTTTGTGCGGGCCATGGAGTTGTAATTAAAAGGAAATCCATATTCATTCCGAGTAGGTAGGCAGCCGCAGTCGCAGCCAGTCGCAGGAAGTGGCAGGAAGCGTGTCATGCACGAGGCAGCAGCAGCAACGGGACGTGGCAGCTGGTTCCCCACCAGCGCAGGATGAAACCTGGGACTGAGTACTGAGCACTGAAGGCGTGGCATGTCTCTTTGTGTGTTTGTCAGGCTGCATGGAAAGACACTGAAGAATGCTGACAGGAGCATTCCCGGCAGGGTCGCAGTTGGGTAATCCCTGCCACATTCTGTGGCGGCTAACAGCATGAAGAAGCGAGTCACGCTCTCATCTCTAATGCGACCTGCTTGCATATTTGTTTCCAGTCCAAAGCATCGAGGCTCTGGTCGGGGCTGGGGCTGGGGCTGGGGCTGGGACTGGGGTTGGCTCCTGGGCCTCTGGTTGTCGGCCTATTTTGCGGCCACCGCTTTGCATGTTGCAAACAATTTGCCGCTCGAGCTTGCCAGCTCCTCGTCCAGGCCAGGCCAGAGCAGCCCGCGACTGACTGCCATTTAGTGGCCCAGTGCCGTAGCAGTGCCACATAGCGGCAAAAATGTTCGTGCGACTAATTTGTGAAAAAAAAACGAAAGGAAAAGGAAAATCCCACAACCCACGGTGGTAGCAAAAGCAACAGCGACAGTCACTGCCATGAGACGTTAAAATCAACGGTCCGTGGGCCATTAGAACGGGGCCAGACCCAGCACAGCGACACAAAATGGGTGAAAAAAAAATGCTATAAGCGCAGCTCCTCCACGCTCCTGTTAATGAGAAATAATCACAACAGCACAAAAAACACAAGCTTAACAACGGAAAAAGAGGCGAAACAACAGTGGCACATTTAATGCCGCCGAACGGGCGTGTCATTCGCTCCTAAGGAAAAAAAAGAGAAAGGAAACCCAAACAGAAAACGCATCAAGCAGGGCAACCGCTGCGACAATCGGTAAACACACAAAGCTAATAAAAACTGTAAAATATTCAACAATTGGCAAAGCTCTTAAGAGTCTTACAGACGCCCCTGATATTGAAATGCAAACCTCGCAATTTTCCACTGCCAGTCCCTGCCATGCCCTACCCCAAATAAATATGCTACACATAAGGCCACAAAAATGAATATGAAGGTGGAGCTGGAGTTGGAGTTGGAGTTGGGCGCCAGCAATAAGTGGCTCCAGCTGTATGAAAAGAATGAAAGAAAATGAATTTGATTGTGTTGTGTGGGGCTTTTGGGGGGTTGGGTGCTTAAAAGGTTTTACGAAACTTAAAGCTGACAAGGCATATCCGCTTTGAGTGGTTTAAATGCGATCAAGCAGATAAGTTCAACCGGGGAAGCATTTTACTTATACGATATGAAAGTTTATGGGAAACTGAATTAGGCAATGGCCCAAGCGAAATAGGAGCGTAATCGGATGGTAATTAGATTTTAATTGATGCCGATAAGCCATAAAGCCATTAAAACGAGTTTTAATGTTTCGGCATTTGGCGATGTTTTTGTAATCGCATTAGCCAGAGGATAATCCAACTATAAAAACTTCAGCCTCTTAAATATTCATTTACCATCAATCAGCGCAACATCCTCACCTTGCCGCCAGAACCATTTATTATCCTTATTATTTACGAAGGCCGCACCAAAGTAGTCTCATTTATAAATAGCCGACGCTTGAAGCCTTCATTTTCTCTTGTTTTCTGTTGTGTTCAGTGCGATTTAGCCATGGCTATATGGCCATAAATTACGCAGAACAATAACCCTCCACACACACACACACACACAACCACAACACAAACTCTCACACAGACAGGCAACTGGCTTTAAGTAATTCCCTCGCTTTTATAATGAGCATAAAGGATAACCGAGCACAAAGAGGCACAGCCCAAGAAGTCGAGTAGTCGAGACTTCCGCCGGAAGCGGCTGGGAGCTTGGGAGCCTCTCCACCGAGGCATGCATACAATTATGATCTAGCCATGGCCAAATGGTAAATTAATTGAAACGAATGGATGGGCATAGACAGAGGCACGGGCAGGGAGGCAGCACAACAAACTTTTGGTTACAAATGCTAAGTAAAGAAACCAACAAAACATTAAACATTTCAATTATGTCGCTGCGACGAGCAAAAACAACTTTTTTGTTTTTGCTAATTAAGTCTCAATGGGTGCTCCGGAAAGCCGAAGCCGTGCTCCAGTAATTAGCTGGCAAAAGTCTGAACAAAGCCAGAAAACTGGAAAACAAATGAGCCAAACGTTGGGCACAGGCGGAGAGGAGAGGAGCGGAGCGGAGCAGAAGCATAACTGGAAAGCGGAGAGCGGAGGCAGGGAACAACAATGGCAGCAGGCCATTTCCGGTTTGCTCATGTGTGCCGTCGTTATCCATCGCCAGGGGGCGCTCGAGTGCTTCCTACTTGCTGCCCACCCAACCACCTCTCCCCCCTCCGCAACTTTTGAACCAGAAATTGTGTTTGTGTTAGTGTGTGGGTGCTGGGTGCTGGCTGCTGCCAGTGCTGTTGCAGCAACAGTTTGTTGCCTTGTTTGCCACGTTTGTTTGTCGTTTGCCAAGACAACGACAAAAGCAACGGCAGCGGCAGCGGCAGCGACACGCTTATAAATTTTTAATTAAATTGTTGTTTTCCAGTTAGTGTTTTCACTTCCTTTTTGTGCCTTTATCTAGTTGTTGTGCCACCGACATGGCTGGCAAACGCATTGATTGTTTCTGTGCGCCGATCCCCCCCGAGTGTGTCTGTTCCTGGCCTGTATGTGGGTGGGTATCCTTTGTTAGAGAATGTTTTCTCCATGGGGTTTGCCCTTGCAATTGTCTGTCCATATATGGCTGGAGGGAGTGAGGCACTTTTCCTGCTGAGCAAATTGAGTTGTTTAACTTGCAATTGATCCGGACCCAAAGGATTACGCAGGAGGAAGCACAGTTGTGCTGCTGAACCCTCGTTCAATGGAGGAAATCACCTTTGACAGGAAGTGCCTTTTGCCTTAACCAAAGCATGGATTAATGATTGCATGCCTTAAAGGAGAACAGAACACTATTTTTGATACGATTAATGCCTGAAGAAGGTTTCCCTTTCTCTTTCTCTTTTCTGTTTCTTTCTTATCGATTCAAAAGTTTAGCCTCATTAGGCATGCAACTTCCTGCCTAATTTGTTCCCTTTTATGCAT